ATACCACCTTACTCTTAGAAGTGGGGTCACAAAAGGATTCTCTGAGGAAATAAGGTTTCCACCCAGAAAAAGCAGGGGCAGAGGAAGCAAAGTATGTAAGGATCCAAAGCAGGAAGAGGAGAGTGTGTTGCAGGGATCCGTTGTTCCCTGTGATTAAGTGGAAAGACCAAAGGGGGGGTGTGGAGGGTTGGCTACTATCTGAGCACAGAGAGCTTCTTCCCTAGAGCAAGGACAGGCCAGAGGACACCAATAGGGGACCTTTCACCATGACCCTGCGGCCAGACACAGGGCAGACTGCAGGGGAAGAAACGTGACTGCTGGTGGGAATGTTGGGTCTTTGTTGTTGTTTCTCAGAATCAACTTAGACATGGATGGTTCTCATCCCAAGATGATGAAGCAACTTTGGGGTCATTTGAGCTAGTTTTGTGTGTGATGGTACTGAGGTTTGAACTCAGGACCTAAGCTTTTTCACTCAAGGCTGGCTCTGAACCACTTGAGCCTCACCTCCCTACCCCTTTGAGGTCATTTGAAAATGTGCGCGACTAATTTTGGTTGTTACAATCACAATGAGGGAAAGGTGAAGGGCAGCTCCACACAAGGGCAGAGATGTCTTTTTCATAATGCCAATGAGAGCCAGGCCACAATCCCAGGCACTGAAGACTTAAAAGTAGGGATGTAAATGTTATAAGCTATAAGAATATCAAAGGAACTATGTATCTGAAAGAATCTGAGAAGTGGAGCGGGAAAGGAAGTGAGAGGAAATGCAGGGGTGAAGACTTAGTCATCTGACATAGTGGGGTGTCAGGAGACACTGTCAAAGGTTATAGATCCAGAACCAGATGTTTAAGTGTATTGAACTTATAAGGAAAGCCCAAAGAAAAGGTCAGAATAAGAACACAACAGAAATTGTGAACAAGAAAGGAAAAAGGAACGCTATAAGTGAACTACATTGCCTATCTCTCAGAACCAAGAGTCAGCAAATACTGTTTAGGTTATTGAACAGAGAAATAAAAGCAGAAAGATAGTATTGAGAATTAGAAAGGAAATCCCCAGAAAATCCATCAGAAAAAAAAATGTCAAGAAGTGGACTTTGAGTTGAGGGGTAAGGGGGTAGTGATGGCCACTTTGACTCTTCATTTTAGCCCTTGTCTTAAATAGATCCTCTGTTTATGTCTAACTGTGCAGGTTAGAGAAGTAGATAAGCTTCCCATGCCTCTTTATTTAATGCCAGCCTCTGTCATGGGTAATAGAGGCTTCTCTTACTCTCTGAGGAGCTAGTTCTGTTTGGCAGGAACGTGCCAAGAACTAAGGCCCACCTCCAATCACAGAACCAGAAGTTTCTGGTGCTCATATCTACTGCACTGGGGCTGAATTCATGACTATTCCTTTGGAGGGCTGAAGAGATTTCCTTCCCCCAGTGGGCATGGATCTATTTTCCCTATGAGGCCGGGGTTGCGTTGAGGCTAGTTGGGGCAGCCTCCAAAGAAGAAATGGGAAGATTCTCTGAGGCAGCCATAGTGACTTGGACTCCCAGTTCAATTCCATAGGAGTCAGGTAAGTGCAGACACCTTCTATATATGAACAAAAAGGTTCCTAAATCACACAGTATTTGAGAGTATGGAGAGGGGAATAGAATAAGAGGGAACTAGATTCCATCATGGCTTGAACCTTCATTCTCCAATCATCAGATCTATGAGGTCTAGTTGCCGTTATTATCTTTTTAAAAATAACAGTTGGTTGAACTATTCCTCTTCCCTTGTGGTTTCTTCATGGGGTAATGATATCACATTGTATTAATTACCCACATATCTCAATTGTCAACCACCTGTGATCTCCTTTGCAAGGATTGGCTTTATGTCTTCAGAACAGGGAATACCCCTAATAAATGCTGGCTGAATAAAACAATTAGTGAACAGATAGATGAATAAATAAATGCCTGGAATCAAAAGAAGAAGAAGAAAAAGAAGGAGAAG